CTTCTTCTTTCTTCTTCTTCTTCTTCTTCTTCTTCTTCTTCTTCTTCTTCTTCTTCTTCTTCTTCTTCTTCTTCTTCTTCTTCTTCTTCTTCTTCTTCTTCTTCTTCTTCTTCTTCTTCTTTCTTCTTCTTCTTTCTCTTCTTCTTCTTCTTCTTCTTCTTCTTTCTTCTTCTTCTTTTTCTTCTTCTTCTTCTTCTTCTTCTCCTTCTTCTTCTTTCTTTTTCTTCTTTTTCTTCTTTCTTCTTCTTCTTTCTTCTTCTTCTTTCTTCTTCTTTCTTCTTCTTCTTTCTTCTTCTTCTTTCTTCTTCTTCTTTCTTCTTCTTCTTTCTTCTTCTTCTTCTTTCTTCTTCTTCTTTCTTCTTCTTCCTTCTTCTTCTTCCTTCTTCTTCTTCCTTCTTCTTCTTCCTTCTTCTTCTTCTTCTTCTTCTTCTTCTTCTTCTTCTTCTTCTTCTTCTTCTTCTTCTTCTTCTTCTTCTTCTTCTTCTTCTTCTTCTTCTTCAGACTGTCTGTTTCATAACTATATTTTGTTCTCTAATGATTGCCATAAATTACTTGATAGTATTAGGCTGTTACTTGATAGGAAAATGATTTTTTGATTCCCTCACCTTATGATTGCGCCACACACGAGCATCCAGACAGCGCATTCTACCGAACTACTGAAATCGATATAGGCCTATCTATCCCCATTTTTACGCCAACCATCCGAAATTTGCTGGAACCCACAAGGCCATGTCTCACCCAAGTGCTGATTGGAAGTATTAGAAAAGATTTATTGGATTATTATCGTAATTACGAGATTCGAATGTGGGAATTTGGGACCCCCCCCCCCCCCCTTAGTAAATTGATTGTAAACAGCTGTTGAGATTGTTGAAAAGCGACGGGGCCTGACGATGCATAGACACCCAGCTGATCACTCTTCTGTTCAGTGAAAGTCCGCTCAGGTGAGTCATTGAAATTCACCTGAAAATCGCGTGATCGTTATAAGAGGATCATTGCCATGTGCAAAAGGAAGCTGTCCCTGTATCAGCTTCTCCCACCCAATCACTCCATTTCTTTGCCGGCATCTATCGCTTCCTCTCTCTCTCTCTCTCTTTTCTTCCTTCCTCGTCCTCTTACCTCTCCTTCTTATTTTCTCTCCTTCCCACTCCTCTCTATCTCTCTCTCTTTCACCCATCCTACTTTGTTCCTCTCCCTCTCTTTCACTCATCCTACTTTGTTCCTCTCCCTCTCTTTCACTCATCCTACTTTGTTCCTCTCCCTCTCTTTCACTCATCCTACTTTGTTCCTCCCCCTTTCTTCCTCCCTCCTCCTCCCCTTTCTTCCTCCCTCCCTCCCTCCCTCCCTCCCTCCCTCCCTCCCTCCCTCCTTTTCTCTCCCTCCCTCCCTCCCTCCCTTTTCTCTCCCTCCCTCCCTCCCTCTCCTTCCTCTCTCCCCTCCCTCTCCTCCCTCTCTCCCCTCCCTCTCCTCCCTCTCTCCCCTCCCTCTCCTCCCTCTCCTCCCTCTCTCCCGTCCCTCTCCTCCCTCTCTCCCCTCCCTGCCCTTCCCTCTCACCCCGTCCCTCTTCCCCATCACCCTCCCACTTCCTCCAACTCCCTCTCGCTCTCTGCCTCCCCCTGCCATAGGCTCTTGTTAGCACTGCATCCGGCGCTCCGCTATCCGGTGCTCTCGCTGGTACCTGAGAAGTCATTGGTTAGTATTCAGAGCGACACGGTTACGGGGTCGCCAGACGCATAGGAGATACATGAGAGAGAGAGAGAGAGAGCGAGAGAGAGAGAGAGAGAGAGAGAGAGAGAGAGAGAGAGAGAGAGAGAGAGAGAGAGAGAGAGAGAGAGAGGGGAGAGAGGGAGAGAGGGAGAGAGGGAGAGAGAGAGAGAGAGAGAGAGAGAGGGAGAGAGAGAGAGAGAGAGAGAGAGAGAGAGAGAGAGAGAGAGAGAGAGAGAGAGAATGGTTCTCTCTCTCTCTCTCCCCTCCTCCCTCTCTCTCTCCCCTCCTCCCTCTCTCTCTCCCCTCCTCCCTCTCCCCTCCTCCCTCTTTCTCTCCCCTACTCCTTCTCTCTCTCCCCTACTCCCTCTCTCTCTCCCCTCCTCCCTCTCTCTCTCTCCCTCCTCCCTCTCTCTCTCTCTCTCCCCTCCTCCCTCTCTCTCTCTCCCCTCCTCCCTCTCTCTCTCTCCCCTCCTCCCTCTCTCTCCCCTCCTCCCTCTCTCTCTCCCCTCCTCCCTCTCTCCCCTCCCTCCTCCCTCTCTCTCTCTCCCCTCCTCCCTCTCTCTCCCCTCCTCCCTCTCTCTCTCCCCTCCTCCCTCTCTCTCCCCTCCTCCCTCTCTCTCTCCCCTCCTCCCTCTCCCCTCCTCCCTCTTTCTCTCCCCTACTCCTTCTCTCTCTCCCCTACTCCCTCTCTCTCTCCCCTCCTCCCTCTCTCTCTCTCCCCTCCTCCCTCTCTCTCTCTCTCCCCTCCTCCCTCTCTCTCTCTCCCCTCCTCCCTCTCTCTCTCTCCCCTCCTCCC